ATGTTCTCTCATCCAAAGCATCATGGATGGCATTAAGAGCAATGTCACTATTTTGAAGTAGCATTTCTTCGGCAGCGGTGGGAGCCTCTTCATCCTCAATCTCAATTTTGGTCTCCACCACCTTCCAAACCTTCCTATTGATTGACTTGATATAAGTTGTCATCTTAGCTTTCCAATAGGGATAATTTGAGCCATCAAATTGGGGTGGCTCCGTTGTGTTGTTGATTTGAGCCATTTTTACACCGAAGGTTGTTAAGCCTTAAATCACGGTGACCTTGACGATACCACTTGAAAGGTCCTAATGACTAGAGGGGGGTGAATAGCCTATTAAAAATTTCTACAACAACACTTAACAAATCGGTTAAACAATTATGAGGCGAATCGAGTGTTGCGCTAGCCTACTAAAAATGCAAGCCACCTACCACAATTTTAGTTTATGTAGTTTTTATCCACACAATAACTATGTCACTACACTAAGTTCGTGTGCTATCAAAGGCTAACTAAAAAGCCACACTAACCAAACTAACAAGCTCTCACAACTAGCTACACTAAAGAGCTTGATAACTAGTTTGCGGTAATGTAGAGAGAGTGAGCAAGATGGTTATACCGCCGTATCGAGGAGCGAGCCAATCAATCATAAGAATGAATACCAATGAAGACCAATCACCTCGGAATCAAATGATGATACAATGATTTTTTACCGAGGTTCACTTGCTTGCCGGCAAGCTAGTCCTCGTTGTGGCGATTCACTCACTTGGAGGTTCACGCACTAATTGGCATTACACGCCAAACCCTCAATAGGGTGCCGCACAACCAACACAAGATGAGGATCACACAAGCCACGAGCAATTCACTAGAGTACCTTTTGGCTCTCCGCCAGGGAAAGGTCAAGAACTCCTCACAATCACCATGATTGGAGCCAGAGACAATCACCAACCTCCGCTCAACGATCCGCGCTGCTCCAAGCCATATAGGTGGCGGCAACCACCAAGAGTAACAAGCGAATCCAGCAGCGAAACACGAACACCAAGTGCCTCTAGATGCAAACACTCAAGCAATGCACTTGGATTCTCTCCCAATCTCACAAAGATGATGAATCAATGATGAAGATGAGTGGGAGGGATTTGGCTAAACTCACAAGGTTGCTATGTCAATGCAAATGGCCAAGGGTATGAGCCAGAGCCGGCCATGGGGCTTAAATAGAAGCCCCCACGAAATAGAGCCGTTGTACCCCTTCACTGGGCACTACACGGGGTGACCAGACGCTCCGGTCATATCGAATGGACGCAGGGCCCCAGCGTCCGGTCGCCCGATGCTTGCCACGTGTCATCGGCTTCAAGCGCTAATCGTCCGATCTCAACGGTCATCAGTACATTTAAGTAGTGACCGGACATGCTGCTCAAAGTGACCGGACGCACCAACACCAGCGTCCGGTCGTTTCCAGTAAGGTACCAGAAACAAAAAATCATGATTGGACGCGTCCGGTCATGCCCGACCGGACTCACCCAGCGTCCGGTCACTCAACGTCTCCCATGTGCGCTGCATATGTCATCATACTGACCGAACTCAGGCCCTGAGCCTCCGGTCATTTCTCGCGTCAGCGTCCGGTCATGAGACCGAAACCATATGCTCACTGCTGCCACTGACCGAACGCGTCGGTCCTAATGAGACCAGCATCTGGTCTCTTACAGTGACCTTCGTTCACCTGGGTTAAGCCACTGGATACGTCCATTACGCTCTGTGAAACCCTGTCTTTTCTATACAGTGCGCCGGTGGCACCGTCGGACTGTCCGCACTCTACGGACGGACACTCCGTCAGTGAAGCTTCTTACCCTTGCTCAAATGAGCCAACCACCAAGTGTATCACCTTGTGCACATGTGTGTTAGCATATTTTCACAAACATTTTCAAGGGTGTTAGCACTCCACTAGATCCTAAATGCATATGCAATGAGTTAGAGCATCTAGTGGCACTTTGATAACCGCATTTCGATACGAGTTTCACCCCTCTTAATAGTACGGCTATCAAACCTAAATGTGATCACACTCGCTAAGTGTCTTAATCACAGAAACAAAATGGCTCCTACAACTTATACCTTTGCATTTAGTCTTTTGTTTTTCTCTTTCTTCTTTTCAAGTCAAAGCACTTGATCATCACCATGGCATCGTCATCATCATATCATGATCTTCATTTGCCTCACCACTTGGAATGTGCTACCTATCTCATGATCACTTGATAAACTAGGTTAGCACTTAGGGTTTCATCAATTCACCAAAACTAAACTAGAGCTTTCAAGGAGAAACCCCCAAGGTTCGCATACCCTGAGGTGCGACAACAGGCAACGCATAGCTGTCGATATGTCCATGCCAGGACTGCGCTGCCCCAGTTGTATGCCGCTATGTTCTTCCACGGCTGGCGTAGTATGTCAAGAAAGATCCAGCTGATGGTGTTGCCCGAGGCGTCTAGGAATAGGAAAGCACCAAGGAAGTGCTAGAGCCACACTCTAGCGAATCTGTTGATCTGAGCCTCATCAGCCTGTGGGTCCAAGTAATCAAAGCGCTCTGTGATCTAGGACGACGAAACACTGGAACTTTTTCTGAAATTCACCTAAGAAAATAAGATCCGATGGCTGTAGGAAAGCAATGCAAGTATTAAATAGACTTGAATTGCTCACTTATTTTTCTTGGAAACCTTGTTGTCCGGTGGAAGAAAGTCAGTGAACTGAGCCACCAGCTCCCTCCAGTGATCGTTGTCAACTATACCTGTCACTGGAAGTCCCCTAACCGAAGGCCAAAGATAGCCTTCACGTCCTGCATGGTCAAGGTCATCTCGCCGCAAGGTAGGTGGAACGTGTGGGTCTTAGGCCTCCACCTGTTATAAGAATAGAACGACTATTAGTTACCTCAAATTTGTTATAAGAATGTTTACGTACAAAGAAGGCACTCGCACATGTCTACAGCTGCAATAAGTAGTGTTGGGTCAAGGGGCGGAAGTCCATAGTTGACAACATGGACAAGCTCGAGGAAGCCGGCACGCCGTATGTATGGCGCGTAACGCTCGTCCCACTGGTGCGCCCTGGTGTGCGTGCGGGGCCTCAAAGGAGGCAAGGCCACCTCTGCGTCGGTGTTACTCAAGATGTGTGCTCGGTGCTGGTCGTCGTATTCTACCTCAAGAAGGGGAAACAACGGGTGCTACTTGGGAGGGATCATCCTGTTACAAATTGATAAACAAAGGGTTAGAGTATTCAAATTAACATTATGTGGCATTACAAAATTTGAACTACTTGTTATGCAATACGAACACAATATGAAAGCACATGTATATATTCAAAGTAACATTAACAGACATATTAAACAACTTCACTAGGAAAATAAGTATTTGACGAAACTTCATCAAGTCATCCAAATCGTCGTATCACGCACTACTAAGTACCGACACTTGAAAACTAGTATCTATATTGACAACCTTTACTACTATAAACTAACTAAATAATAAATACTTAATCAATCCATAAACCCAAAATTCTAACTAACAGTAACCTAAACCCTAACTACATAACCAAACCTTAACTATACTACAACACACAGCCTAAACCCTAAAAACTACCTACCTAAATAAACAAATTCACTAACCTAACTATCCTAAATCACTAACCCTAACTAAAACAATAATCATAATAACATGAAATCGAGAGAGGGAGCTACCTTACCTTGATATGAGCGGGCTATTGCGGCTGTGACGCGCCGGCGTTCGTGGCGCGGCCGGCGCGGGCGTTGCGCGGCGGTGGGCAGGCAGACAGAGGGAGGGCGGCGGCTCACGGGCGATATTTACCTGGGCCTGCCGCACCGTGGGCTATGGCGCGTCACTGTCGCGCCAAGATCAATGGCGCGGCAGACCCTGCCATGTCACCGGTCAGCATTTCCGGTCGTCGCCAAGTCATCCACCTGCCGCGCCACCATGGCTTTTCGTCGCGCTATGGCAATAGGCGTGGCCAAAATTGTTAGTTTTGAAAAAAAACAGTGTTAGATTTAAAATTAGTTTACAAAAAGTGTTCAAAATAAAAAAAAATCTTGCAGAAAGCCTTACATAGCTTGAACTTAGAGGCAGATACTTATCTAAGCGAGATGCATAAAAGATCCAACGAGGTTACTCCAATTCCAAATGAAAGTGTCCAAGAACCATTAAATGGTGTATATCATTTAAAATTCCACGAGTAGTAAAAAGTTCAAAGAATACACGTTTCAAAAATACTGTTGAAAAGAAGACAGGGAAGAAGAAGAAGAAGAAGGGTGCTCAAAAGAAAGGTAGTGAGCCTGCCCACTATGTTATGCTTATGTCTACATTTTATTTTTCATCTTCTATTATATTATATATTTGATTGTAGGTGAAGATCTAAACAATGATGTAGAAACTAGAGATGAACCTGCTGCTCCAATATAAATGACTGTAAGACAATAGCTATTTTCACCATTTATTCACTTACAAGCATTATTTGTGAACACTTTCTTATGCTGTGAAACAGGATTTTAATCCTGGGCCATCTTCAACTACAGCAGCTCCATACATGCCACACTTCAATTCAATTGCAGATACTTCTGGAATGGCTGCTCCATTTATACCAAGAGGATACACAAGTCTCTTAATTGGAGTTGATCAAGAAGCCACAGTGCAAACTGCTGTTAGGAAGTTGCATTTTGATGGAGTAAAAAATCATAAAAATATGTAACTGTACTCTTTTACTGTCATGGGACCTTATGAAATGAAACATGTTCAGACTTCAGACTATTTCCTTGGCTCTGAAGAAGAACCTGTTCAACCTTACATAATTGACTAAAGCTCTACATTTTTGTGACATGTCTATACAGTTTACTTTGCCAGGAAGTTCTCATGTACTATCTATGTTTACATCCTTGGCAACCATCCTGGTTACTGTCAGGCACAAGACACAAGTCCTATCTTTTGGAGCTAGACATCTTCAGATGCCAATACAAGAAAAAATTATCATATCCACCATCCTATCTTCTGGTTGCCTCGCTGCTCTGGTAGGGAGGTTCTCATTCCCATTCGCACAATGCAAGATACAATGCAGGATGGTGCCTGTTCTTCAATGTTCCTTGCAGCCGGCACCCTGCACCCTGCAACCTGCAACAAGTCAAACAAATGCTTCAGCTTCATTAGCAGGACGAGGATGCGGCAGCGGCGGTGCCTAGGTGGGCGCGCCTTCTCTTGACTGCATTAGACAACCTGCAGTTGTCCTGCACGGCCGCGGACCCGCTGCTATCGGCGCCGCCGCCACCGCCGTCGCAGAGCTGCGTGCGGCCTTCGCGGCGGGCATCCAGGTGGGCGTGGGCGCGTCTCCTCCTGGCCGATTTGGATCACCTGCTGCTGTGCGACGCGGCCAAGAGCCCCCGTCGCCGCCGCCGCCGCCGCCGCCGCGACATCCTGCTCCGCATCTGAGCCGAGGGAGGCGCACTCATATGTGTAGAACCGAGGAGCCGCAGTGGACCGTGGAGCCAAGGGAGCCGACGACCTCTGATTACAAGCCGAGCGAGCCGAGTGAACGCTGCTCGTCTGATTAGAAGCGACGCCACGCGTCGTGCATCTGGGGAGGGGGCTCATCCTCCACGGAATGAGCCCAGAATCCACACAATTTGTTTTCCGCTGCAGGCGCCTCTTGTCCGTGTGCAGTGTGCCAGTGTGCTCGCCAGCGGCGGGTGCTCTGCTTCCATCCTCCCGGTCACATGTACGCCGTTGTCCACTTCTACTGTTTCGTCGGGGAGTAGAGTGTAGGATACGTTGCAGTGCTAGTGCAACCAAGAAAGAAGCATTGCCATACCTTGCAGATGTAGGAATACTACATCTCGCATTCACGCGGCTTTCGGCCTGTCGCCACGGAAAAAATAAAGACTACCTCACCGAAAAAGACGTGCTGCACATTCTCAAACATTTTTTTTTTCTTTGTGGAGTTCGAAATTCGTGGAATTATGGTTTATTTTCAATGAATACTCTATGCAACAATTAATGGGCCAGTCAAAAATGGCCAGGAAGGTTCATGCACATTTCGTTCGTTCGGCACACATCGTTGCAAGGGACACACATGCATGCATGGCTCGGTCCAGCACAGCAGAGCAAGGTATTTTTCGGCTGAGCTGAAATCTGGCTTGTTTAGCTTATTTTTCCAGTCGGAGCAGTATTTTTCTCTCACAACATTCCAGCATAAACAGTGTTTCCGATATGAACAGTAAAAACCTCAGCTCAGCCGAACACTCCCGTAACCAACCAACCCGCCACCTTAAGTGCCCTCCCAGTGTTGTGCAGTTGTGCTTCGTGCCTGGTACTATAGACAAATGATGGTGCTGTTCCAGACTTCCAGCCAAAACCATAAACAAACACCCTGTTCGTTGATGCTGAAATTTTGCTTACGCTAATATTTATACTGAAATATTGTGAGAGAAAAATATTATTACATAACTTAAAAATAGTTTAAAAAATACTATTGCATAACTTAAAAATAGTTCTGAATAAGCTCCCGCGAATAGAGCTTGCAAGCTGGGTCAAGGCACAGCTAGCGAGACCACCCGCCACATCATTGTCCAGGCTTGGCTGGCTATGCGAGTGACGACTGAGCGAGCCGTGAGCAGCCATTTGCATTCGCTGCTTGACATCACTTTGCTTTCGCGCAAAGCTGCCGCCGGGACGCGCAGACGACACCCGATGGACGGCCTGGGGCCTATAAAAGGCATCGCCCCCCAGCCGCCCCTTAATGACACTGTCATCACCAAACCAAGCCAAACGCCGGTGAAGACAAGCGAGAGCCCGTCCCGTTCCCCCCCTCTCCGACTCTTCTCTTCCTCTTCCATTCCACTCAAGATCACTGTTGCGCTGCAGAGAGGCTGACCACCAGCCATTCATTCATTCATCCGTTAAGAAGAGAGCGAGAGAAGGGGGGGAGAGAGAGAGGGGCCGGTGGAGATGAGGAGGCAAACAGCAGCTTCCGGTTCCGGGGGCCGGTGGCGAGGCTGCGATGGCGTTGCGGCGTGGCGGTGGTGGGTGGCCGTGGTGGTCCTGGGTGGCCATTTACTGAGCTGCGCGCGGGCGGGGCTGCTGGAGTCCAACCCGGGGCTGGCCTACAACTTCTACCAGAAGAGCTGCCCCAGCGTGGACTCCATCGTCCGCAGCGTCACCTGGGCGCAGGTCGCCGCCAACCCCGCGCTCCCGGCTCGCCTCCTCCGCCTCCACTTCCATGACTGCTTCGTCAAGGTCCGTCCGGCTTCTTCCTCTGCTCGGCTCTCTCTCTCAATCATTCATTCATTTGTTCATTCACTCACTCATGACTCATCCAATCCATCGCCTGGCCTCCTCAATCAATCATGCACGTCGTCAGGCGTCGGTGCGATAGGATAGGATACATAGTAATCATTTCGAGTTACTACTTCGCCTGTGCATTTACTCTGGTCGGCAGTCGGCACGGCGCGCGTCCGCCCGTCCGGCTTCGCCTCCAGATCCTTCTTCCTCCTGCAACTCCAACAATCCCGCATCTCTAACCGCATTGACCGACCCGCAGCACCAGGCAGAGAGAGTAGTATCTGTGGCGCCCATGCGAGATTCAAGCGCCGGCCACGGCCAGCCGAACACACACAACAGAACCTTCAACTTTCTTGCATACAGTACATGCATGTCCGCACGCAAACGGAGTGCGGCCGGTGTCGTTCGTAGTAGCTTATCCGGATTCCGGGTCCTGGCGCGGGCGGCAGATTTTTACCGCGGATGGGTTGGTATGCAATGCACTGCACTGGGCTGGCCCTTTCCATCCAGTTGCCAGTAGTTTTCCAGTTCCAGTCTCAGCGCCAGCGGAGTGGTGGGCACCCAGCGCACTTTTGTCGGTTTTTACCGAGGACAAAAGCAGAGCGCTGCAGAACAGCAGGGTTCCACTCGACCCTCTTTCTTTCCTCGTGTTCTGTTCCCACGCCCACGGTACACAGACACAGGACGACGGGAAAATTTCACGTACGAGTACGAGACGATCGCGCGAGCCGCGAGGGGAGCAACGCGAATCTTGTCATTTTGCACCCCGGCCCCCGCCGCTCCCGTGCCTCCGTCCGGATTCCGGTGCCGCGCGACAGCTATCCTATCAAGCCTGCCGCGCCCCGTACGGCGGCCGCCTTGGCCTGGCCCCATCCCCGGGGGCATCGGCATCCCCATTGCGCGCCAGGCCAGGCCGCGCCGAGGGACGAGGGAGACGCATCATGCACGCATGCTTTGCCGCGTCCTGTCCTTGTTGCTGTATCGCTGTTGTATGTAACTGACCACCGGCTACTACGTGCAGGGCTGCGACGCGTCGATCCTGCTGGACAGCGCGCAGAGCGAGAAGACGGCGGCGCCGAACCTATCCGTGGGGGGCTACGAGGCGATCGACGCCATCAAGGCCCAGCTCGAGAAGGCGTGCCCGGGGGTGGTCTCGTGCGCCGACATCGTGGCGCTGGCGGCGCGCGACGCCGTCTCGTACCAGTTCAAGGCGTCGCTGTGGCAAGTCGAAACCGGCCGCCGCGACGGCACCGTGTCGCTGGCGTCCAACACGGGCACGCTGCCGTCGCCGTTCGCCGGGTTCGCCGGCCTGCTGACGAGCTTCACCAACCGCGGGCTCAACCTGACGGACCTGGTGGCGCTGTCGGGCGCGCACACCGTCGGCGTGGCCAGCTGCTCCAGCGTCACCCCGCGGCTGTACCAGGGGAACGCCACCGCCGTGGACCCGCTGCTGGACTCCGCCTACGCCAAGACGCTCATGTCGTCGTGCCCCAACCCGTCGCCGGCGTCCGCCACGGTCAGCCTGGATGGCGGCGCGCCGTTCAAGTTCGACAGCGGGTACTACACCAGGGTGCAGCAGAACCAGGGCACGCTCGCCTCCGACGCCGCGCTGGCGCAGAACGCCGCGGCGGCGCAGATGGTGGCCGACCTCACCAACCCCATCAAGTTCTACGCCGCCTTCTCCACGTCCATGAAGAAGATGGGACGCGTCGACGTGCTCACCGGCACCAACGGACAGATCAGGAAGCAGTGCCGCCAGGTCAACACCTCCTGACCTGATCGGGCCACGCTCTCAGTCATCGGGCCATGATTCCTCTTCATTTTCTCCTGCCTTGCCTGCGTGCCTGCCTGATATTCGGTTAGGCGCGCATCGATATATTTGCCCCGTTCGCTTCCGTATTTTTTTCTAGTCAACGAACGGTATTTTTCTCTCGTAACACATTAGTCAACCGTATTTTCAGCTATGATTTTTCAGCCAAACGAACATGACCACTTAGACCTCTCCTCCCAAAATCTATTGGTTTGTTATTACTCGTGTGTTCGATTGTCTTGTCTTGCAAATAAATGTAAGAAAGATTAAGATGGCTCCTCGTCTTGGCATTGCCGCGCAAAGCAAGAAGAACGCGGCTCGTCAGGCTCCTTTTCTTCAGTTATTTACAGTGAAGGCAGGCGATGGTTACTGATTGATTCGTGAACAGAGTGTACCACACTACTCTACGCTACGCAGCGAACTTTATGCGACTCAATCAAGGATTAATTATCCGCGACCACTGATCCACTAGAGATTTACGCCTTGGTGCGCCACTAGCACTGATCCCACCACTAATCTCTCTCATCCTAATCGATCCCACCACGAGCTGCCGTCGCGTCGAACTGGAGCCCCACTTCGGCGCGACAAACGAATGACCTCGCGGGATTTATACGTACTCCAGTAAAGGCTTTTGCCCGCGCAAGGCTTTTGCATTTGAATGCTATGTTCTGGTCAGGACGACTAGCACGGCGTGGGTCATTGGACTGAGCAGACAAAATCCGGCCAGGGAAGGCAAAGGCATCACAGTTCGCAAACGATTGGCGAGTGCAGCGTAGCGTAGCGATTCACTGAACTGTGACGCAGAATCGGTCTCCCCATCATGTTCAACCCAAAGATGACAGTCAGTTCGCTGACTGATACTGATTTGTCGCGTGAGAAAAACACCGTGGGCTGTCTCAAGCCAACAGGCTGGACCGTCACAAACTGTCTGCACATGGAAGTTTTGGAGCAGTGTGAGACTTGAACCATGCGTCAAAAAGGAAAAGGTATCGCATCAGCATGAGACAATGCCAGTAGTAGTATATGGTAGAGCTACGACGACATTCCCCCAATTTTCTACTGCCCCCCGCCCCGGATGCGGTACGGTCGATATTCCCTCTCGACAAAAGCGAAAAAGAGTTCGTGGCAGGACCCCAAATTAAAAACTTTGCTTGTCCTTTGCACCGAGATGCACGCAGCCGAACGACAGCGGCACAGTTTCTCGTGTTGCGAGCAAGCGTCGCGGACTGGCCGATGGCCGCGCCGACAGCCCGAGATGGCCTCGCCTGCCCCACGATCCCACTGACATTTTTTCTGTGTCCATGGCTCGCCGCCTCAGCCGTCGCCGCTCGCGGGGGCCGGGCGGTGGTAGGCCCCGTTCTCCGGCCTCCGCGTCGGATCAACGACTAGACCTGCGCCTGTCAAGGCCACGTCGCTGCAGGATGCCGACGGGCAAGTTCACATTCGCTTCGCCCGTGACCCTGACGAAGTTGGGGAGCAGCGAGTGGCCAGCGTGCGCATACCCATGTTCCGGTGTTGGATCTCCCGGTCAGGTCACTAGCGCGCCGCGCCGGGGCATTAATAAAAAATGTCATTGGCTGGCGGCAATCCTTTCCCGCAATTGGATTACAAGTTACTCCCTCCTTGGCAAAAATGCAATTACGAGATTCGTGTCGGTCAAACTAACTCAAGTTTAACCAAATTCATAATAAGTAATATTAGTATTTATGTCTTTAAACAAAATTTATTATAAAAATATATTTTATATCTAATCTAACGGTACTTATTTTATATCATGGATGATAGTAGTTTTTTATATAAATTTAGTTAAAGTTTAAATTGTTTGATTTCTCGAAAAACGAGAATTGTATTCTTGTCTGGACGGAGGGAGTGGTGTGACTTGAAATCTGAGCATTACCAAAGTCACGAGTGTCATGGCGTTGCACTAGCCATGCCACCATTAGCAATGAGGCACGGGCGTCGTGCTATTGGATCAGCCATTGTTCATGAATAACTGGTAAAATAACTCGTGCTCTTACACGACCTAAAATTTCATATAAAGAATGCCATCTAGTTTTATCCTAAGTCAACAACAATAACAAAAAATTGGTAAAACCAATATTTATGATGTTAAATAAATACAATTTGATAAATTTGACTAGTTTATAACAAATATTGGTAAAAATCAATATTTATGATGCTAAATAAATACCATTTGATTCATTATACACTATATTTTTCATAGTAAATCTATTTGATGTTATAAATGTTAATAATTTTCTATATAAACTTAGCCAAACTTAAAATATTTTGACTTAGAATAAAATCAAAACGTTACTCTTTGTGGGACGATGTCTGACTCGATGCTTAATAGTCGCTTATAGAGTGGACATTGCCGGAGTATTTGCCACTTGGTAGGGTCACGAGTCAGTATATACAACTTGCTTTCATCTGGAAGTTTTTAATGTGGGACTTGGTCATAGTTATGTCGTGGGGAATTCTGTTTTCTCCCCTCTCTACAGAGCTTTCGCTTCTCATCTTGTTTCTTCGCTCAGATATGCGTAATATTTCAATGTAATGACGCAGTGTGTGTTTTTGGCGCCTTGGTCAATGAAAGTAGGTGTGGATCCCCCTCCCCCATTGCTCAAAACAGTTTTTTTTTTTTTTTTGATAAATGATTCAGGTTTTACCGAAATGGATATAACTGATATAAGCAATAATATTGGGCTTGGCATCAAGTTAGATTTCAAAGTTGTTAGAATGGAACATTCCATTGTTGATATGCTGCAAAACAAAATCAGATATGATTCTTGTTGTATGTACGGTATACATCTTTTTCCCTTTCCAACAAATTGCATATTTTCTTTTCTTTTTTTGCAAACATTGGTCTCATCTGATTCAAATCGTGTCCTCTAAGCGTAGAACATAGATGACATTGTGATTCACATGTATATATCGTATATGTACTTCTCAGGTCGGGCTATTAGTGCACCTACATGAATTGAACATGTGGGATGTAGGGGGAATCTGATCTCGATTGATTTTGTTTCGTATTTCGTTCTGGTAAAACTGATTAGAGTTACCAAAATCAATATGTGATATTCCATCAGGTATGGATGAATGATAAAACCATAAATGTACCTCTAATTGCACTACAATTATTTCCAGGATTCACAACTATCCTGAATCATTTATTGATGTGATCCTAAATGTTTGCGTGCATCAAATAGGTCTATTATAACGATGGACATGTTCGCTTGTCTTATGAGTCGTATTGTTTTAGCGAAGCAATAGTGTTTTTCTCTCACGATAAATCAACGAACAATATTTTCAGCCATGGCTTTTCAGCGAAGCGAACATGGCCGATATCTTTAAGTAGAATCTGACTACCTGCCTTTTGCGGGGCCTTAGAGTACACACACTAAAAAGGGGGTGTGAATTGGGCTAATTATAATTTTCTTTGCAATAATTAAATCATATGGTTAGCCCAATTAACCCCTTGTGCCTAAAAAGTATTTCTAGTTGTTCTACCGCACAAAAGACTTGCAACCTAAGTTCCAATCCTACTCTAGCATGGCAATTCTCTGTATGTAAAAGCAAGTATTGAACTGCTCAAAGTAAATGCTTAAAGTAAATAGAGAATGAGGAATGCGACGATATTTTGTCGAGGTATCGGAGAGTCGTCACACCCCACTAGTCCTCGTTAGAGCACCCGCGCAAGGGTGTAGCTCCCCCTTGATCCGCGCAAGGATCAAGTGCTCTCTACGGGTTGATTCTTTGACACTCCGTCGCGGTGAATCACCCACAACCGCTCACAACTTGAGTTGGGTCATCCACAAGCTCTCCGGATAATCACCAAGCTCTCAATCACCACCAAGCCGTCTAGGTGATGGCGATCACCAAGAGTAACAAGCACGAACTCTCACTTGACCACGACAAGCATAATGAGAAAGGTGGATGCATACTTTGCTACTATTGATCTCACTAATGAGGGCTCTCTTTGGGATTCTCAAATCTCAATCACCTCACTAGGACCTTGCTCTTCTTGGCACTCTCAAACATGTTTCTCAGCTGTTGGAATGAGCAAAAGTACCCCCACACACGAATG